GTGTGTGCATGTATGTGCAGTGTGCATTTATGTGCATGCATGTGCAGTGGGCATGTGTGTGCATGTATGTGCAGTGTGCATTTGTGTGCACGCATGTGCAGTGTGCATGTATGCACGAGTATGTGCATACATACGTGTGTGTGTCCCTCTGCATGCCTACACATGCGTGTGCATGTGTAAGGACACACACGCCCCTGCCTGAATGCACACGTGTGCCGGTGTGTGTCTGTAACTACATACACACGTGTGTGCAGGCGTGTGTGTGTGCATGTATGTGCGTGCAGTGGCGTGTGCCTGTGCTCACGGTGACACGCAGTGACACTCGGGGACCGACCTGCCGAGCCAGCCCGGGCAGCGCTGGGGACACGCGGGGTTCAGCCCAGCCGGCCCAAGCATTAACGAGCATTAATTATGCCGGCATTAATGAGCATCCATTAATTCCCATGCCCCAGTGGGGGGGAATTTTCCTGCAACGGCCCCACAGACCCAATATGGGGCTTTTTTTAAACTTGAATTTAAGTGTTTCCTGCAGCCTGAAGTTACTGTCTCTGCTACGGAAAATGAGCACTTGCAGATGATGGAAAAATCCCTGCTTGGGGGAGAATTTAGCCACAACTCCATTTCCACAGGGATTGCCCAGTCGGAAACTGGGTGGAAAAGGGCCATTACTGGCAGCGGAGCTGCTTTGTCCCACTGTCCCTGCCTGAGCCTGCTCCCTCCCCACCGGCACCCACCCTGGGATGGGGCAGAGGGGGATACACGGGGCTGAGACCTCGCCACACTTCATCTCATCTCCTGCTCTCCAAGCAAAGCAGGGGCTGGAGCCAGGAAAGCGCCGCACAAGCCAGCGGAGGATGCTCAGCCCTCACAAGCCCCACCTCCCCACGCCCCTAATTTTTCCCGCAGGGTCCCACTCTCAGCTGGAGGACACGGCCCCCCGCATCGTGGAGCACCCCACGGATCTCCTGGTCTCCAAGGGGGAACCGGCCACGCTGAGCTGCAAGGCCGAGGGGCGCCCGGCCCCGGCCGTGGAGTGGTACAAAGACGGGGAGCGGGTGGAGACGGACCGGGAGGATCCCCGCTCCCACCGCACCCTCCTGCCCGGCGGCTCCCTCTTCTTCCTCCGCATCCTGCACGGGCGGCGGGGCAAGCCCGACGAGGGGGTCTATGTCTGCGTGGCCAGGAATTACCTGGGGGAGGCCACAAGCCGGAACGCTTCCCTGGCGGTGGCCGGTGAGTCCTGGGGAGAGGGAGAGGGGCTGAGGGGTGATTTGGGTGGGGGTTTAGGGGTCTGGTGTCACCAACCCGCTCTGGTGGCTGTGGGACCAGGGGCTCTCACATCCCCGGGCGTGGCGCTGCCGAGGGAAAAGAGGGGGAAAGAGATAAAAGCAAGGAAAATAAATGGAAAGAAGGGAAAATGAAGTATTTGGCGATAAATAAAATAAGTGAAGAGCAATGGAAAGAAATTTCAGTGAGTTCGAAAGAAGCGAAAAACATTGGAAATAAATGAAACCGAGGGGAAAGAAATGAAAAAAAAAAAAAAAAAAAAGGAAATGAGTGAAAGTAGATGGAAAGAGCAGAGTGAAAGTAGAGGGAAAGAGTAAAATGAAAGTAAGTGAAAATGAATGAAAGTAGGAGAAAAGACATTAAAACGTGGGGGAAAAAAAGAAATGAAATGAAGTGACAAGAAGTGAAAATAGATGAAAAAATAAAATAAGTGAAAATAAGTGAAGAAGAACAAAAATAATGAAAAAATCAAAATAATTGGAAATAGATGAAAAGAAGTGAAGATTACTGAAAAGAAGTGAAAATAAGTAAAAATAACAACAAAAGAACACAAAAGAAATTAAAAGAAGTTAAAATACTTGAAAACAAATGAAAATGAGAATAAACAAAAATAATTGCAACAAAATAAAACAAAATGAAAATAACTGAAAACGTTCGAAAATCAAGTAAAATCAATGAAGATAAACTAAAATCAGCTAAAGCCAATGCAGACGGTGTCCCAGGCGCCACTCCCAGGGCTGGGGAGCTGAGGCCGGGCTGGTGTGTCCCCCCAGTGCTGCGGGACGATTTTCGGCAGCCCCCCGGGGATGTGGTGGTGGCGGCGGGAGAACCGGCCGTGCTGGAGTGTGTCCCGCCCCGCGGCCATCCCGAGCCCAGCGTCTCCTGGAAGAAGAACGGAGTCCGGCTCAGCGACAAGGACGAGCACCTGACCGTGAGGGACGGGGCGGGGGGCACAAACCCGGGGCGGGGGTGTTGCAATGGGGGGGTGGGATAAGGTAGGGATAGAGGATGCAGTAGGAGCGTGGGATGTGAGAGGGGTACAGGATGGGGATGTGGAATGCGGGATTCGATGGGGATGCAGGGTGCAAACGGAGATTAAGGTTGCAATGAGGGTGTGGAATGTGATGGGGGTGCCTGATTCGATGGGGATGCGAAGGGGATTGGGGATGCGATGGGGATGTGGGATGTGGTGGGAATGTGGGTGCAGTGAGGATACAGAACGTGATGGGGAGGCGATGGAGAAGTGGAATGTGATGGGGATGGGGGATGCAACAGAGATCTGTGATTCAATGGAGATACAGGACGTGATGGGGATGGGGGATGCAATGAGGATGCAATGGGAACGTATGACGTGATGAGGGTGTGATGCAGTGAGGATGTGGGAAATGATGGGGATGTGAGGGGCATGTGGGATGCAGCGGAGAGTTCGGATGCAATGAGGATGTGGGATGTGACTGGGATGCAGGATGAGATGGGGATGTGGGAATGGGGATGTGGGATGCAATGGAGATATGGGATGTGATGAGGGTGTAACTGAAATGGGAATGTGAGATGCAGTGAGGATGCGGGATGTGATGGAGATACGGAATGCAGTCAGGACGGGAGGTGCAATAAGGATTTGGGATGCAGTGGGAGTATGAGATACAGTGGAGATGCAGGATGCAATGGGGATGCTGGATTTGATGGGGATGGGGGATGTGATGTGCTTCCCCCAGATCCGTGGAGGGAAGCTGATGGTGGCGAGTACCCGCAAGAGCGACGCCGGTGTCTACGTCTGCGTGGCCACCAACGTGGTGGGGGAGAGGGACAGCGAGCCGGCCGAGCTGGTGGTCTTTGGTGCGTGGGGTGCAATGTTTGGGGTGCTGAGGGGTGGATGACATCCCGGCGGGACTGACGGCTGCCCCACAGAGCGCCCGGCGTTCGGCAAGAGGCCCCTGAACCAGGCAGTGCTGGTGGAGGGGACGGCAGAGTTCGCCTGCGAGGCGGTGGGGGATCCCCAGCCAGCGGCACGGTGGCACAAGGAGGAGGGCGAGATGCCACTGGGAAGGTGAGTAGGGGGTGAGGGGGCTGATGCAGGGCACCAGGGCCATCGGTGCAGGGCTCTGCAGTGCAGCTGGGTGGCATTAGTGTGTGCCAGCCTGGCATCCCCATGACATCAAGTATCCCATCACATCCTATATCCCCGGTGCACCCTCCATCCTCAGCACATCCTGCATCCCTATTGCACCTCAAGTCCTCATTGCATCCTGCTTCTCCATTGCATCCCATATCCCCATCACATCCCACATCCTCACCACATTTCACATCCCCAATGCATCCCTCATTTTCCTTGCATCCCAGATGCCTGTTGTGCCCACATCCTCATCACATCCCACATCCTCACTGCATCCCAACCCCTTGGCACCCCACGCTGTCCTGGTGCCCCAGCACTCTGCTGGTGCTACATCCTCACGGGGTTCCCCCAGGTGGGAGGTGCTGCCAGACAACACCCTGCGGATCAGCCGGCTGCGAGCAGAGGACGAGGGCACCTACACCTGCGTGGCCGATAACAGCGTGGGCAGGTCAGAGGCATCCGGCACCCTCACTGTGCATGGTAAGGGGGGCCCTGGGGAGCACCCTTGGGTGCTGGTGGAGTGCCTGGGCAAGCCCTTGTCTCTCCCCACACTGTGGCAGTGCCCCCCCAGCTCGTCACTGGGCCCCGTGACCAGGCTGTCACCCCTGGCCAGAGCGTGACCTTCCAGTGCCAGAGCAAGGGCAACCCACCGCCCGCTGTCTTCTGGCAGAAGGAGGGGAGCCAGGTCTGTGACCATCTCTGTCCACAACCCTGTCCCCATCCTTGACCCCAGACCCAGCTGTAGCCTCATCCTCATCCCAGTTCCCACCTCATCCCTGTCCCCATTCCATCCTCATCCCAATCCCATCACCGTCCCTATTCCATTTCCATTCCACCTCATTATCATCACCATCCCCATCCCAATTCTCAGCCTGTCAGTATCTCATCCCCATCGCAATCTCATCCCATCTCATCCTAATCTCACCTCATCCCCACCCAGTCCCCATCACCATCCCATCCCAGTCCTTATCCCATCCCTGACCCTGTTTCACCCCAATCCCAATCCTTACCCCATTCCATTCCATTCCACCTCATCTCTTCACATCCCATCCCATTCTTGTCCCCATGCCCATCCCTGTCCCCACCGTGTCCCAACCCACCTCCCCTCCCTCCCCAGACCCTGCTGTTCCCGGGCCAGCCCCCGCTCCCCTCCAGCCGTGTTTGGGTGAGCCCCGGAGGTGCCATGACCATCGCCGACGTCCAGCCCAGTGACGCTGGCCACTACCTGTGCCAGGCCATCAGCGTGGCTGGCAGCGTCCTGGCCAGGGCACGCCTGGAGGTGATGGGGGGTAAGTCTGGCACCAGCAGAGAACTGGCGCATTCGGTGCACGAGTGGCACCCACCACACCACCCAGCAATTCCCGGTTTCCCCCCGTAGCACCCACGGAGCTCCACCCGCCGGTGGTCAGCCCCATTCCCGCTAACCGGACGGTGCTGCCGGTGGGGGCCACGGCCCGGCTGCCTTGTGGGGTGTGGGGCGGTGACCCCTCGGGCAGCGTGGACTGGCTGAAGGATGGCAGTGCCCTGGTGGGTGCCCAGTCCCGTGCCAGCCTGCTGGAGAATGGCACCCTGCAGATCACCAGCCTCCGGGTGAGCCGGCCCCGGCAGGGGCACCCGTGGGGGCACTGCAGGGAGGGCAGGGGGGCAGTGGGTGTGGGAGGCGTGCAAAGGGAGGTGGGTGCTCAGGTTGGTGGGTACAAGCAGTGCTGGGGCTCAGGGTGATGGGTACAAAGGGTGGTGGGTGCTCAGGGTGGTGGGTACAAAGGGCAGTGGGTGCCCAGGGGGTGGGTGCTGAGGTGATGGGTGCTCAGGGTGATGGGGCAGGAGCTCTTCCCCCCCACAGGTGAGAGACTCTGGGCTCTATGAGTGCGTGGCCACCAGCCCAGCGGGCGAGACACGCTGGGGCAGCTCTCTGGAGGTGCAAGGTGGGTCACAAGGATGTCACTGCACCAGGGACACCATGGCACCGGGGACAAAGCAACCCCAGACCTCCACGCATCTCTCTGCAGGTGATGAATCTGACCTCTCCCCACCTTCCCCTGTGCCCGGAGTCCTCCCTGGGCCACCCTCCACCCCTGTGGTCACCAACATCACCAAAAGCAGTGTCACCCTGAGCTGGAAAGCGAACAAGGACAGCGATGCCACCCATGTCACCTCTTACATAGTGGAGGCTTTCAGGTATCACTCAAGCATCCTCTCTGGCTGCAGGGATGTTGTGGTGGCCCGGTACCACCCCATCACGGGTCACCCCTGTCCCTTGGCAGCCAGGCAGCGGGTGGCCCGTGGCGGACGGTGGCAGCTGATGTGGAGGGTGAGACCCACACGGTGAGCGGCCTCGTCCCTGACACCGTCTACCTGTTCCTGGTGCGGGCGGTCAACGCCTACGGGCTCAGTGACCCCAGCGGCGTCTCAGAGCCTGTGCACACCCAAGGTGAGACCCAGCGGTGACATCGGTGGAGGTGTTTGTGAACCCACCATCCACCTCCACTTGGTGACACACATGGAGGTGCCTGTGGCCCCAAAACCTTTGGGTCCATCCTTGCCCAGTGGTGCCGGTGGAGTTTCCCATGTACCCACCATGGGAACGTGGTGTCACCGTGGCCTCTCCACTCGGTGACGCCAGCGGGGATGTCCATGGGCCCTCCATTCTCTCGTGCTTCCAGCAGATGCCAGCCCCACGCAGCAAGGGCTGGACCCTGAGCAGGTGCAACGGGAGCTGGCCCAAGTGGCTGTGCACCTGCAGGAGCCCGTGGTGCTGCCGCTGGGCGCCGTCCGCCTCTCCTGGACCGTGAGTGCCGCACCCCGCTGCCAGCACGGGGCTCCCGGTGCCGAGCATCCCCCCATCCCACCCTCCCCTTGGCCTCGCAGGTGGAGCGCCCAGCACCCTTCCTTCAGGGCTACCGTGTGCTGTACCGGCGGCGTGGTGGGCGCTGGGAGGAGGCGCGGGCGGTGCGGGCACCGGAGGAGCGGGGGGCCCTGCTCACCGAGCTGCGCCGGGGCCAGGACTACGAGATCAAGGTCCGACCCTACTTCCGTCAGCTCCAGGGTCCAGACAGCGCCGTGCGCACTCTGCGCACCCCCGAGGCGGGTGAGTGTAGGAGTGCAGGGGGGGGGAGGAGGCCCGGGGGACAACCTGGAGGTGACACCCCGTGTGTCCCCTACCGGCAGCCCCCAGCGCCCCCCCGCGAGCTGTCAGCGTGGCTGGGAATGGCACCAGTGTCCGCATCTCGTGGCAGCCACCACCACTGGCCGAGCAGAACGGCGTCATCCGGGATTACCGGGTAAGGGTGGACAGCAACAGGGACGTAGCAGGTCCCCTCTGTCCACCCATGACATCATGTCATGGCGTCCCTCCTCTTTCCCTCCCCGCTCCCAGATTTGGTGCCTGGGCAACGAGAGCCGCTACCACATCAACCAGAGCGTGGAGGGGACGGTGCTGGCGACAGTGCTGCGGGGACTGGTCCCCGGGGTCCCTTACCACGCCGAAGTCGCCGCCGCCACTGGCGCCGGTGTGGGTGCCCGCAGCGCCCCTGTCCCCATCCGCGTCGGTGAGTCTCCTGTCACCGCCGCACCTACGGGTGGGGAGTGGCGGGGGTCACCCACTGTGGTGCTGCGGATGGCTCCTCGGCATCCCACCGGTGTGTCCCCCTTCCCCGTGTCACTCGCAGCCCCCCCGGTGGAGCGGGATGCGGAGCCAGCGGGCGGGAGCAGCATGACCGAGCGCTTGGCTGAGGTGGCCAGGCAGCCAGCCTTCATCGCCGGCGTCGGCAGCGCTTGCTGGGTCGTTCTCGCCGCCTTCGCCGCTTGGCTCTACAGCCGCCGCCGCAGGAAGAAGGAGCTCAGCCACTTCACCGGTACAGGGGGTGCTACCCCTGGGACTCCCCACCCCTCACCCATCGCCCACCAGCCACCTATTTCCCCTCTCTTTACAGCCTCCTTTGCCTACACACCCACCGGTAAGCCCACAGGTGGCGCGGGGTCCCGGCGCGGCCTCTCGCCGCCCTCACCCCGCTCTCTTTCCGCAGTCGCCTTCCCGACTCCAGCGCGCGGCAGCCCCAGGTAACCCCCCGGGTATCCCCCGCCCTCTCCAGGAGCCCCAGCGCTGACCACCAGCATCCCTTCCCCCCGTCTCCTTGCAGGGCAGCCGCCGGCAGTGGTTACCCGTGGCTGGCGGACGCGTGGCAGGGTGGCGGCACAGCCAGTGCTGCGGGTTGCTTGGGCACCGCTGAGAGATACTACAATGGTAAGGGGTCAGCACGGGGGCGGGTGCGTGGCTCTGACTGGGAAGGTCATAGTCAGCCCTGATGGCGGCAGCCGCCCTCTGCAGACGCCGGCATCACCCGTTACATCGCCCAGACGGAGCAGTTTGGGGCGGGGGCCGGCGAGGGGCCGGTTTACAGCACCATCGAGGCGGACAGTGAGGAGCTCTGCACCTTCCCCCGTCCCTTCTCGCAGTATGGGACCCCCTATCCCGGGGTGGGTCCTCAGCCGATGGATGCTGCAGCCGCCCAGGCACCCCGAGGATGGGCTGAGCACGGTAGGGTGGTGGGATGGGTGGGGGGACACAGGGGAGCCGGGGGTGCGGTCCCCTCCCCACAGCTCCCCCAGCATCCCGCCTTGCCGCAGGGGCCAAAGCAAAGCTGGGGCAAGCGGTGAAACTGCCAGCGGTGAGTTGGACGGAGCTGCTGCCCCCTCCACCCTCGGCCAGCGAGCTCAGCCAGTGCACCCAGGAGAAGGAGGAGGAGGAGGAGGAAGAGGAGGATGAAGAGGAAGAGGCAGCCAGAGGGTGAGTGTGGAGGCTTGGGGGGGCAGGGGCCTGCTGCCCCCAGCACGCACCCTGTGGTCTCCGCCCTGCAGGTTGGGGATGGAGGTGTGGTACCCTGGTGAGGACATCCCCTGTGCCACCGCTGCATCCTCGCCCACCACCTCCTCCGGTTGCCGGTCCATCACCACGCTGACGCCATCGCCCCGCACCACCGAGGACATTCCCCGCCTCCGGGACTTCGACAGCTCCCGCCTGCCCCGGTAGGAGATGGGCCTCGCTTGGTATGGCCGTGCCATTGGGGTTTGGATGTCCCATTGAGGTCCAGGTGTCCCACCACGGTCTGGGTGTTCCATTGTGATTCAGTCATGCTGTCACTATCCAGCCCCTGCTCTGCCATCATGGTCCAAATGTGTCATTGGGGTCCAGATGTTTCATAGGGGTCCAGATGTCCCACCATGGTCCAGGTGTTCCACCACAATCCATCCATCTTGTCACCATTCAGCCCTGCTGTGCTGTCATGGTCCAGCCATGCCATTGAGGTCCAGATGTGCCATCTGAGGTCCAGGTGTCCCACTGAGGTCTGGGTGTCCCACCGTGATCCAGCCATGTTGCCATGACCCAGTTCCACTGTTCCACCATGGTCTGGCCTTGCCACTGGAGTCAGGATGTCCCACCAGGGTCCGGATGACCCACCACAGTCTGGGTGTCCCATCACAACCCAACCATGTTGTCACAGTCTGGTCCTACCATGCCACCATGGTCTGGCCATGCCATGGGGGTCTGGATGTCCTGCTGGAGTCTGGATGTCCCATCATGGCCCAGGTGTCCCTTTGTGATAATTCCATGATGTCACCATCCATCTCTGCTCTCCAGCTGTGCCCCAGCCATGCTGTCAGGTCACATCCATGACAGTGTCAGCTGACTGGGGCATCACCATTCAGCTGGACCATCACAAGCCAGCTGGGACATCATCATCCAGCTGTGCTGTTGTGGCCCAGCTCTGCCATGATCCAGCGGTGCCATCGCAAGCCAGCAGTGCCATCACAATGCTGGCACGTCACTGCACTCCAGCTGTACTGTTGCAATCCAGCCATGTGGTTGCAATCCAGCTGTGCTGTGATCCAGCTGTGCAGCTGCAATCCAGCTGTGACATCCGGGGCCAGCTGCATCACTGCCATCCAACTGTGTGCTTGAAATCCAGCTGTGCTGTGACCCAGCTGTGCAGCTGAAAGCTGTGTGGTTATAATCCAGCTGAGCAGCCATTATCCAGCTGTTCTCCAGCTGTGCCATTGCAGGCTGGATACGTGTCATTACGACCTTGTCAGGCTGTGGCTTGTGATCCAGCTGTGCTCCTCCCCTCCGGCTGTACCACTGCACTCATCCATCTCCCCTTTGCCAGCCCAGCTGTGTGACTGCGATCCAGATGTGGCACTGCCATCCAACTGTGCTGCTTCAGCCCACCCACACCAGTGCCATCCAGCTGTGCCAACACCCCATGTCTTCCCCTGGCCCCAGCACAGTTCTGGAGGGATTGTGCCAGCCAGCACTGTGGTGGCCACCGAGCCCCCCATCCCACTTGCCCCACCTCGGCTTCATCCCACCCCCTCTTTGCCAGGAGACCCCCCCACAGCACCGGCACCCCCCCACAGGCACCCAGTCCCCCAGTGACTCCGGATGCCAGCGAGGGCCACCCACCCCGAGCCCGCTGCCCCCCCGGCGCAGGTGAGCCCTGGAGGGCCGGTTTGGGTGGGCGGGCACCGCACTGGCTGTGTGGGGAGGCTGACACTGCCATCCTCCCCCAGGGAAACACCGCGGGGCGGCCCCTAAAGGTCGCCTGAAGCCCAAATGCAGCCGTTACTGCCGGGAAAAGCAGACGGGAGGTGAGTGGGGGGGGAAAATTAGGGGCTCCAGGTGGGTCCAGGAGGGCTCAGCCCTCTCCTCCCTCTCCACCGCAGACCTGCCGCCACCGCCGCTGCCGCCACCGGGAGAGACCCGCGGCCCCTCTCCAGAGCGGGAGCCCAGCGGGGCCGAGCGCAGGGTCGCCCATCGCCCGCCCCGCGGCGGTAAGCCAGGGCCACCGGCTGCGAGACAAAGGGGTTGGGGGTGTCACTGCCGAAACCCAACCTTGTCCCGTCCCCTGCAGACGAGCTCGTCCCCTACAGCAAGCCCTCCTGCCTGCCCCGCGGGCAGGTGTCTGGCAGCTGCTCCACCACAGGCAGCGTCTCATCCCGCGGCTCCGCCAGCTCCCGGGACCACGGCTCGGGGCGCAGCCGGATCCCGGCGGAGCGCGGCCAAGGGAGCGGCCATCGCCGCCGCCCGGGGGCCGCATTGCCCGGCCCGTCGCAGGAGAAGCGATAAAGTGGAGGGCAAGCCGGTGACAGGGTTGGGGACACGGAGGGACGTTCTTTAATTTCTGGGTGGCGTCATGTAAATAGGGTTGCACAGAGCCAGCGGCCGGTGGGCGTCAGAGTGAGGGGGGACAGGGGTGCTCGGGGTGGGACAAGGATAATCACAAGGGATGAGGACCCTGGGGAGGGACAAAGATGCTCAGGGAAGGAGTAGGATACTTGGGGAGGGATGAGGACCCTTGGGACAAGGACGGTAGGGAAGCGCAGGGATATAATTCAGAGGATTAGGATGCTTAGGGAGACCAAGGACAGTCATGAGGAATGAGGACCCTGGGAAGGGATGAGGATGCTCAGGAGGGACAAGGAAGATGCTTGGGGAAGGAGGAGGAGCCTGGGGACAGAGACAGTTGTTCAGAGAGGGATGAGGACGTTGGGGAGGGATGAGGATGCTGGAGGGGGATAAGATTGATGCTTAAGCAGGGCAAACATCTTGGGGACAAGGACAGTTTGGAGGAACAAGGATGCTGCGAAAGGACAAGGACGACTGTGAGGGATAAGGATGATTGAAATGGATGGGGACAGTTGGGATGAGATTACAAGGGAGAGACAAGGACACTGCAGATGGTTTAGGGTGCTGGTGAGTGACAAGGAAGGCAGGGGGACAAGGATGCCTGGGAGCAAGAGGACACAGGGAGAGGACAAGGTTGCTTGAGAAGGACAAGGACTGTAGTAAGGGATGAGGAGGATAGTTGCTGGGGGATGAGGACAGTGGGAAGGGACAAGGACACTTGGTGCATAGGGCAAAAACAATTAGAGAAGGATGAGGACGCTCAGGAGGGCTGAGGACCCTGGGAATGAGGATGATTAGGAAAGACAAAGACACTCGGAGGAGGCACAGGTGCCTTGGGAAGGATGAGGATACTTGGGAGGGACAAGGATGGTTGAGGTGGGACAAGGATGCTGAGGAAGGACATGGACTTTTAGAAATGACAAGGACAGTTGGGAGAAATGGGAACGGTCAGCAGGCCTGGGGATGGTCAGGGGGACAACCCTGGGGAAAGACAAGGACACTTGGGATGGACAACAGTGCTTGGGCTGGACAAGGGTAGTTGGGGGGGATGAGGATGTTGGGGAAGGACGAGGGCACTGGGGAGGGACGAGGACACTGTGGAGGGATGTGGACACAGAGGGAATGTGGACTCTTGGGAAGAATGAGGATGCTGGGGAGGAATGAGGCATTTGGGAAAGTATGGGGACACTGAGGAGGGATGGGGACACTGCAGAAGGATGGAACACTTGGGAAGGGCAAGGACACTGGAGAAGGAGGGACACCCACCCCCCTTGGTGCCACCCACCCTTTGTGTGTGGCTTTTCCTAGTAAAGAGCCCCTTTTTGGGGAACTGCCTAATAAAACTGGATTTTAGCCGAGCCAAGGGGACTGGCCTTGCTGCATCCTGCACCCTGGGGACCTCCATGCTCCTGTCCCTCCTGTCCCCAGCTCGCCACCTGCCCTGGCCCAGGGGCTGCCACTCCCTGACCCCTGGCCACCTGGGAAGAAAAGGGGACATTTTCCAGCACCCCGCAACAGATGGCACTCCCTTCCACCCCCAGTGCCTGTCGCCCCAGCATCGGGGCACCGCTCACCGTTCTGTGTGATGCCCAGAGGTACCTCTGCCCTGACTCTCTGTGGGACCCCCAGTGCTGTCCCCCAGTCCCAGGTGGTGGTTGGGACCCCAGGTGAGAAGACCCGCTCCAAGGGTGATGGTGGCGGTGAGGGACCTGCAGGAGACGGTGGTGTCACCGTGGTGCCATGACAGAGACACCTTCCCCAGGGAGGTGACGATCCTTGGGGTCAGAATGGGCGTCAGGGACCCTTCACTCACCCCTGTAAGGCCCGTCAGTGTCCTCAAGGCTGTAGCAGAGGCCATCGACGGCCACGGCCAGCGCGCGGGCGAAGCTGGCGTCCAGGAGGAAGGAGCCGTCGCAGGAGCTCACGAGGCTGCAGCGGGCGCTGGCAAAGTTGTCCTCCGAGACGGACCCCCAGCCGTTCAGCAGAGACCCCCCTGGCGAGCCCCTCGTCGCTGTCCGCTCTTCCTCCTCCTCTTCTTCCTCCTCCTCCTCCCCCTCCTCCTCCTCCTCGCCCAGCTCAGAGGCTGGTGGCCCGTAGATGTAGCCGTAGGTGTGCAGTGGTGAGAAGGACTGTGCCGTGCTTGGTGCCGGGGGCCTGGGGGGGACATGGGGCAGACACTGATGGCACCGGGGGGCCCTGCCATGGTGGGAGTGTCCCACGGGGGTGGGGAATACCTGAGGCAGGTGGTGTCCTGGTCCATCTCCAGGTCCTCAGCCACCTGCTGCTGTGTGAGGACCCCGTCGCTGAAAGCTGGTGAGAGGCGTCCGGTGACTGGGGACCTGTCCCTTGGGTGCCTGGTGTCTGGGGACATGTCCTTGGGGTACCTGGTAGCCAGGAACATGTCCCTTGGGTGCCTGGTCTCCAGCAATGTGTCCCTGGTGTTGCTAGTGGCTGGGGACATGTCCTTGGGGTACCTGGTGCCCAAGAACATGTCCCTCCGGTGACCAGTTACTGAGGACACCTCTTCAGGATGCCTGGTGACTGGGGATGTGTCCCTCATGTGCCCAGTGTCTGGTGACATGTCCTCAGGGTACCTGGTGACCAGAAATATCATGAAGGGACATCCCTTGGGTGCCTGGTCACCAGTGATGGGTCCCTCGGGTGTCTGGTAGCTGAAGATGTGCCCTTGGGGTACCTGGTGCCCAAGAACTTGTCCCTGCGGTGCTCAGGGACTGGTGACATCTCCTCAGTGTGTCTGGTGACTGGGGATGTGTCCCTGGGGTGCCTCATGGCTGGTGACATGTTCTCATGGTACCTGCTGGACAGGAACATGTCACTTGGGTGCTTGGTCACCAGAGACGGGTCCTTGGAGTGCCTGTTGGCTGGGGACATGTCCTTGGCATACCTAGTGGCCAGGAACTTGTCCCTGCAGTGCCTGGTAGCTGGAGACATCTCCTTGGGGATCCTAGTCCCTGGGGACGTCTCCTGGGGCAGCCTCATGCCTGAGGATGTGTCCCTGCAGTGCCTGCTGGCTGGGGACATGTCCTTGGGGTGCTTAGTGGATGGTGACATGTCCCGCTGGCACTTGGTCCCTGGTAATGGGTCCCTGGGGCACCTGGTGACCAGGGATGTGTCCTCGGGGTGTCTGGTGGCCAAGACTGTGTCCCTCTGGTGCTTGGTGGCTGGTGACATGTCCCTGGGATTTCTGGGGACTGGGGACACATCCTTGGGGTGCCTGCTAGCCCAGAGCATGTCCTTGGGGTGCTCAGTGACCAGGGACAGGTCCTGGGGGTGCCTCGTGGCCAGTGACGCATCCTTGGGGCTCTCAGTGGTCGGGGATGTGTCCCTGGGGCGTTGGGTGAGTGGAGGTGTGTCCCTGGGGATCCCAGTGGACGGGGACAGGTCCTTGGGGCGCCTGGTGATCGGGGATGTGTCCCTGGGGCACACGGTGGCTGGGGACCTGCAAGTGCAAGCAACATGTTGGGTTTTGCAGCACGGGGTTTGGGTGCAGGGCACCCGTCTGGATGGGGACAGTCAGACTCACCGTGTCACCGGTGGGTGCCGGGCATGGGGTGGTCTCGGGGGTGTCGCTGGTGACCTGGTGACACCAGAGGCCAGCGAAGCACTGCCCCGACGTGGTTTTGGGGAGCTGAAGACTGGCAGCTGCCCGTTCCCTCCGTCCATCACGGAAGCAGTGGTGTCCCCCTCGTGTCCCCTTCGCTGAGGCCACCTGGCTGCTGGCCCAAAATCTGTCCCCCACTCGCCTCCACTTCCAGTGACAGGGACGTGGCCGGGACCAGCCGTGAGCACCGGGGTGCTGTGCACTTGATGCAGCTCTGCATGGGGGATGTGGGACACCGAGCCATGGGACACCTCCCCGGTGCCCCCATGTCCCCCCACATGTCCCCCATACCCACCTCTCTTGCGAATGTGCTCCCAGGGCGCTGGGTTCGGGGTGCTGGGCGAGGTGTGCACCCCGGGGTGCCCCCCACTGCAGCCCCCCGTGTCCCCGAGGGGCGGCGGGTGCCCCCCACAGGGGCTGCTGCGGTTGGGGGGCGTGGGGGGGCCAAGGCTCGGCGGCTCCAGGGAGAGGGCTGGGAGGGTAAGAGAGGTCATGGGTGCTGAGCTCTGTGCCCCTTGTCCCCTCTGCCCTCAGGTCTGTGTGTCCTCAAGTCCTTGCTGCCTGCAGACAGGCAGTGGGGACCACCCAGGTGGGGGTCCCATGGCACTGGGGTCCCAGGGAGAGGGTTGGGGTCTTGGGCATACTTTGCTGGTCCCATAGCACATTGTGAGGGTCCTAGGCCTTGGTGGGGGTTCCCATGGCATCAGGTCAGGGATCCCATGGTACCGGGTGGGGGGCCCAGAATACCCTGTGTGGGGGCTCCATGGCAGAGAGTGGGGTTTCTATGGCACCGGGTGGGGATCCCAACCCTGGGGTTCACTGCAGGGGTGATGGTCTCATGGCACTAGGTGGGGGTCCCAGCTCCCATAGGGTTCATTGAAGGGGTAGGGGTCCCATGGCACTGGGTGGGGGTCCCAGCTCCCGCAGGGCTGACTGGAGGGGTGGGGGTCCCATGGCACTAGGTGGGGGTCCCAGTTCCCACGGGGCTCACTGGAGGGGTGAGGGTCCCTGCTGTCACTGCCCAGCAGTCGGCTGCTGAGGCTGCTGCTGCTGCTGAGGTTTCGGGGGGCACAGCTGGGTTTCCAGGGGCCACCGAGCCACGGCGAGTCACCAGCCACCAGCCTGCAAGGCAAGGCGTGCTGTCAGGGCATCCCAATCCCACCACAGCAGGGATCCCCCACCCCAAGGCCTCTCACCTGCGGCGAGCTGCGGCATCCTGGCTGGCACGGCGCTGGCAGACGAGGAGGAGGAGGGCGAGTAAGGCCAACCAGAGCATGGAGCCGGCGGCTGCGATGACGGCAGGCTGCCGCAGTGCCTGGACCACCCCGCTGCTCCCCGCTGTCAGCCCTGCAAGGGTCCCACCGGTGTCACCTCGTGTTACAAACTTGACCCCCACCCGCTCCTCGCCTTGCTCCCTGTCCCCTACCCAGGACACCACAGGTGGTGTTGCTGGGGACCCCCAGCCCTGCGCCGTTGAAAGCTGCCACCTGGACACAGAATTCGACGCCGGGGTGTGGGAGGAGGGTTTCCAGGCGGCGGGTGCCTCCGTCCACTGTCCTGTTGGTGGGGCGCTGCCAGCCCTCGCCCACTGACCAGACCTGGCAGGCACCAAGGGGATGAGTCCCCTTAGATGATTACCCTTGATGGACCCCCTTTAATGGATCCCCCTGTGGATGGATCCCCTTGGATGGACCGCTTTGGATGGACCCCCTCAAATGAATGTCCCTGGATGGACTCCCATTGATGGACCCCCTTTGAATAGACTCACTTGGATGGGCTCCCTTGGATGAATCTCCTTGATGGATCCCCCTTGAATGGGCCCCTTTGGATGGGCTCCCTTGCATGCCACTAGGATGGATCCCCTTGGGTAAATGCCCCTGGGATGGACCCCCATTGATGGATCCCCCTTGGGTGGACCCCCTTGGATGACTCCCCTAGGCTGGACCCCTTTGGATGAGCTTCCTTGGATGAATGGCACTAGACAGATGCCCTGGGATTTACCTCCACCTGGATTAGCCCCTTTGGATGAACCCCCATGTTAAGATCCCTCCTGGATGGACCCCTTGGATGGATCCCCTTGGATGGACCCTCCTTGGTCAGAAGCCCCCCAAGCCCTGCCCCCTCACCCCGTCACCCCAAACCTGGTAGCCCCGGATGATGCCATTGTGGGCCTCAGGAGGAGGTGGCTCCCAGCTCACGACCACGGTGCCGTTCCCCGTCTCAGCCTGGCCTACGGTGACTTGCTGGGGTGCTGCACTGGGCACTGCCAGGACAGGGGTGCTGAGAACCCTGGGACCCCCAACCAACCTCCCTATCCTCCACCCAGGCATCCCTGGGGACATACAGCGCACCTTCCTCAGGTATCCAGAGGTGCCTGCTGTTGCTGTCCGAGCCCTGGGTCCCTCCAGTGTAGGGTCGGACCTTGAACTCGTACTTGTAGCCCCTGTGGAGCGCGGGGATGATGGTGCTGAGCTCCCTGCCTGCGTCGTGTTGGACCCAAGGGGTGGTGGCCGGGAGCAGGCTGCGGTACAGCACCATGTAGGACACCGGCACCGGCACCGGCATCAGCATCTGAAGGGGATGGGAAGGGTTCTGAGTCATGGTGGGACACGGGCATGTGTCTCCAGCCTCATCCCTGTGTCCCATCCCTGCCCTCCACTGGGGACATTCCGGCATGACACTGACCCTCCAGCGGAGCCGGACAGCAGCGGTGGGCAGCGCTGTGCCATTGTCCAGGTGCAGCCGCACAGCCAGCAGGTCCCGTGGGGCAGCGTCTCGCCGGCCCGTTGGCAGTCGATCTGTGGGGCAGAGGGAGGAAGGCTAATGACAGCTCCAGGCAGGAGTGGAGTCCCCTGGCACCTGCCCAGACACCCACCTCAGATACCTGTACCTGATGTCTCCCTAGATGGATCCACTCAGATGTACCCCTTGGGGGGGACCCCTTTGGACAGATACCTTTTGATGGGTCTGTCTTGGATGGACACATCTTGTATGGACCTCTTGGATGGGCCCCCTTTGATATGTTCCCTTTGTGGACATGGGATGGGCCCCCTGACACACCCCTATTGATGTGTACCTCTTAGATTGACCCTTTGGATGGATACCTCTTGTCCTATTCCCCTTTAATGGACCCCCACCTTGGACAGACTCCCTAAAATGGATACTCTCGTAGCAGCCAGTGTGGCTGGATCCCCTTTAGGTGGGCTCTCTTGAACGGATCCCCTTGGATGGACTCCCACCTCAGTGCGTCCCCTTAAGTGGATCCCCTTACACGGACTTGCTTGGATGGAGCCCTTAGGCGGATCCTGTTGGATGGATGCTTCTAGATGGACCCTCCCTTTGAATGGATCCCCTCAGCTGGATGGACCCTTTTTTGACGGACTCCCCTTGAATGAACCCCTTGGATGAACCCCATTAGATGGACCCTGTTAGATGGACCCCCAGATGGCCCTGGGCGCCTGTGAAGTCCCACCACTGACCCTCCACGTGGAGGAGGGCGGCGGCGGCGGCGGTGCCCAGCTGGCTCTGCGCTGTGCACACGTAGGTGCCGGCGTCGGCGGCTGTCACGGCGTAGATGCGCAAAGTGTGCTCCCGGTCCACCTCGTGCCTGTGGGTCACCAGCTCTCCATCAGCTCCATCCCCACCCCAGGGACTGGACACCTCCCCCCTGCCACCACGTACCTGCCCCAGGGCAGGTCCCCACGCTCCTTGTGCCACTGCACCCGCGGCGCCGGGTCACCTTGGGCGCCGCAGCCCAGCTCCACGGTGCTGCCGGCCACCGCCACGGCGTCGCTCGGGTGCCGCACAATGGTCGGCTTCTCTGCGGGGTGACATCGAGGATGTGGCACCACGGCCGGGTGTGACGTGCCCACCACCCACGGGAGACCCTTGGCTTACCCAGGACGGAGACGCGGGCACCCCGGCTCTCCCTCTTGCCTGCCGCGTTGGCTGCCACGCAGATGTAGAGCCCGGAGTCGCTCCGTTGCGCTGGTGCCACCCTCAGCTTCCCATTGGTGACAACATACCTGTCACCCACCAAGTCCAAGGTCACCCCGTCCTTCTTCCAGGTGACGCGGGGTTCGGGGTGCCCCGAGGGGGGGACGCAGTCCAGCTCCAGCGCTTGCCCTGCCGTGGTCACCAGATCGCCCGGCTGCAGGCGGAAATTGTCCCGCAGCACTGCCGTGGGGAGGGCACACCGTGGGTGAGTGGGACAGGATTTTCTTGGGGTCCTCCCACCCACATCACCCCCACCGAGCGTCCTTACCAGCCAGAATTTGTGGTGCCGTGGCTGCGCTGGGGGGGTGGCAGCCTGTGGGGTGACAAGGAGGTGGGAGGATGCCGGAGGGTGCCCCAGGCGGGCACAGTCTCAGCCCCAGGGTGGGCAGGGGGCAGAGTTAAGGGGATTTTGCCCCCCCATGGGCTGAACTCACCTCCACGGTGCAGAGCGGCGAGGCAGAGCCCCAGGCCCAGCGCCGTCGCCCAGCCGCCCGCCATGCCAGCCCCAGCCAGCCTTCCCGCTTCCTCCCAAAATCCCAGTCCCTCCCTGTCAGCACCGGGGCCGGATCTGCCTCCGGATGGGGGGGATACAATAGCCGGATGTGGGGGCCGGGAAATGCCGAGGGGAGAAGGAGGGCTGGTTGTGGTGAACAAAAACAGCTCAGTCCCGTCGTGGCAGTGGGGGCACCTGGGTGCGGTGGCACTGGCAGCACCTGGAGACAGTGGGGCTGGGGACACCAGCAGTTAATGAATTTAATTAGTCACAATAAATTCCCCCCATCCTCTGCCATGTTCAGAGGAAGAAATGAGTTCTCAGTTGAGGACACCATCAGTAGGGACCAGAGTGAACAGGCCAGGGTCTCCCAGGCTCTTCAAGCTGAAACTCGAGTGCCAGCCAGGAGCATCGGGCTCATGTGGTCTCAGCTGTCACCCACCTCTCATGTGTCCCCCCCACCCTGGGGAGGGTCCCTGTTCCACAAAGATACCCAAGGGTGCCGCCACTGGCCGGGTAGTATGTTTAGTTTATTGGTTAGTAGTGCACCCCAAGCACTCCAGGGTGCCTCGGCACCCACCCCGGGTGCCCCAGGGCCCGGCTCGCCTGGCCGGCTGCCCTCTGCTTTTCATCCTAAACCTATTTCCAGGGAAGGCCTGGGGGGAGATGACAGCGTGTGCCCCAAAACCGGGGTATTTTCACAGAAAACGCCGGTGCAGTGGAGGGGCAGCGCTCGGGCCAGGGCTTCCAGCCCACATTTAGGGGACGGTGCATCCGGGGAGCTGGGGGGCAGGAGAGAGCCCCTGTTTAGGCCTCCTCTGTGCATGTGTGCGCTTGGGCGAGGTTGTGTGCCGGTGCATGCCCTGCTCCACGCGTGGGGGGGTGTGCCACGGCAGGCAGGCACGGTGCTCTTCGACACGCATGTGCACAGGCGGTCGCTGGGTGTGCCATGCGTGTGCTCCCGTGTGCTCCTGCACACTCTGAGCACACTCAGCTGCACACGTCGTGCACAAACACCTTTCCACGCGTGCCAAGCGCACTCAGTGGCTGCTCCGTGCGAGTGCTGCATACACCCTTCTCTCCTCACACTCTTTGCACACTCGCTGCATTCTCCATGCAAATCCCGCGTGCACGCTCTCTCCACGTGCTCCATGTGCACTCTGCACGGGCTCTCTCTGCACACCCGTGGTCTCTGCGTGCTCTGTGCACGCTCAGAGAACACGCCCAGCGTTGGCATGCCTGGAAATGTCGTGCATGGTCTTACCTGCACACCCCGTGCACACTCCGCTCACACTCGGTGCAGTCTTAGCTGCACGCTCCGTGTGTGTTCTCTGCATGTGCTCCACACGCTCTCTTGCACACTCAGGGCATCCTCTCCCTGCACACCGTGTGCACACTCGCTGCCCACCCTCGTGCCTGCCCCCGTGCACCCCCTGTGTGCGCTCCGTGTGCTCTCCTGCACGCTCCATGCACGCTCTCTCCGTGCTCTGCCTGCACGCTCTCTCTGCACGCTCCGTGCACACCCTCCCTCGTGCTCTCTCTGTGCACTGCTCGCATGTTCTCTCTGCACACGCGTGTGCTTCCTGCACGCTCCCTGCACACTCATCCCGGCGAGAAAGCCATTAAAGCGACGCCCCAGGAAGACGGGGGACGGAAGAGGGGAGCTCCAGGTGGGATCAATAGGAAATTAGTGACTTTACGCCGAGTGGAATGATGCCCGGTGGCGGAAGCGGGGCCGTGCCAGTGTCCCCACTTGTCGCACGCCGCCGCCGAAGCGCGCACAGTCCCCCCTGCTCAGGCGCTGATCTCCACGGCGTTGGCCTCCTCCTGCTCCCGGATGACATGGACGCCCGCAGTCCGCAGCAGCCGCGGAGCGCCGCGGGAGCGCGCTGGCGAACCCGGTGGTGACCGGTGGGTCCGCGTGGAGGCGGGCGAGCGGGCTGGTGAGCGATGGTAGCGACGAGTCGAACGCCCCACCGGCCCCGGCGAGCGACCGGCCGCTGGTACCGGCGAGCTGGTGTAACCCGGTTCAACTGTGCCACGGGGTTCGGGTGGTGAATCCTCCTCTGCCTCCGGTGAGTCCTGCCAAAAGCCAACAATAGATGAGCGTGGTATGTGAGACCCTGTACCGGCACGATACCGGCACTACCGGCTGCTCACCTTATCCTTGAGGATGTACAAGGCCACTGGGTTTTTGCGCTCGTGGTCGCCGCTCCGTGGGATGCCCTCGGCTGCATGGAAGCAAGGTGTTGCTCACAGTGCCAGCGGCATTGGTGTTCCCCAACCCGCCACCGCCATGCCAAGACGGGCACTCACCCTCGTGCTTCAGGCGCTCCTCATCCTGCTCCGTGTAGTCGGAGGCCGGTTGCGTCTCCGCTTGTCGCTTCTCCCTGGGAAGGGAGAGGGGATGGGGCAGCACCGGCATCGCGGTGGGGGCAGTGGGGGGGCTGCCTGCGGCTCAGCCAGGGAAGGGCCCATTGCTGTTGGGAGGGAGAGATGGGATGGGGTGGAATGGAAGGAGGTAGAATGGGGTGGGATGGAATAGGACAAGATGGGATGGAGTGAGACGTGAACAGATGGAATAGAATAGAACACAATCGGAGAGATGGATCAAGGTGGGATGGCATGGGATGGGATGGTGTGGGACAGGACAGATAAGTGACGACAGGATGGGATAATATGGGTCAAGACAGGATGGGATGGGTCAGGTTGGGATGGGAAGAGATAGCATGGGATGGGACAGGACATATGAGTCAAGGCAGGATAGGATGAGGTGTGATGTGATGGGACAGGACATATGGGTCAAGGCAGGATGGGAGGAGGTATGATGTGGTGGGACAGGACAAGATAGGATGGGAAGAGATGAGACGGGACAAAACAGGATGGGACAAGACAGGGTGACCCCCTTTGGCTCCCGCGTTACCCCCAGCCGTACTTCTTGGAGGGTTTCCAGCAGGCGCAAACTGTCACCAGGGTGACGAGAAGGAAGATGCCTCCTGTGGACAGGATGATGTAGAGAGAGCTCCGGCCTGGGGGAGAGGAACAACCCCCCAAAATTTTAGCTGGAAGTATCTGCAAGGGATGAATAACCCTGGGGGTGCAAGAGGGGGGAACAGTGGCTTACGGTAGACCGTGAGTTTCACAGGGACACTGCGGCCATGGCTGATGGGGTTCTCCACCAGGCAACTGTAGACGTCGTCATCAGCCATGAGGACGCGGGTGATGGTGAGGATCTTCTGGTCGGGGGAGAGGAGCAGGCGGGAGTCATTGCTCAGTGGCCGCCCGTCCTTCAGCCAGGTGTAGGTGGGTTTGGTGCCATTCTCGTGCGAGCAGTTGAGGGTGAAGAACTCGCTGAGCTCCAGCACCGTTGAGGAGGCCACTAGCACTTGTGGCTTCGAGATGGGAACTGTGGATGAGCAGGGGAATCATGGTGACACCATGTCTCGGGGGACAGTTGGGCCCAGGAGACAGGAAGGGAGACAGCAAAACCCCACCAGGGATATAACCTGGCTGTGTGAGGTGGTTGAAACCCCCAAAACCACTCCTCAGTTGGAGAACCCCCCCCCAAAAGTGGTCAGGGAAGACATCCTATGGAGAACCGAATCTCCATGGGATGTCCTTCCTTCTTGCCCTTACTGTCCACGGTGAGGTTGATGGTCTTCTCGCCGGTGAAGGTGTCATCGGTGATGGACACCTCCACCTCGTAAGCGCCTTCATCAGCCAGCTGCAAGGGGCTGATGAGCAGCGAGCCGTTCTCCAGCACCCGGATGCGGTCGCGGTAGTCGGGCCGTAGGTTGCCGATGATCTCGGTGCCGATGGACTGGACGACGGTGACGGGTTTGTCCCTCTTCAGCTGCCACTTGACCACCGGCTTGTCGGCGCTGGCGCTGGCGTAGCGCACCGACAGCAGCGCCGCCTTGCCCGCCGTGCCGCGGACCAGCGGCGTGGGGCTGGTGATGTTCACTCCTGCCAGCAGACCTTGGGGTGGAGAGACACACTTTGGGGGTGCTGAGCACGGGGAAAACTGGGGAACTCCCTTCCAGAGCATCCCCGAAATGCCCAACCTGTTTCCGTGACCTTTGCAAAGGGGGGTGGGAGCCCTTCTGAACCCAGATCAACATTGCTTTGGGCATGGGAGGTGGGTCAGTACGACCCCCTGCAAAGATGCATTATCACCACCAAAACTTCATCGGGGGTGGGAGTGGTCCTGCAGTCGTGTCAATGGGACCAACCCTCTGCAAAAATTCCTGTATCACCCCAAAAATGCAGGAGGGAGTGCTCCTGCAGTCAGGTTGATGCAACCCTTAGCAAATATACACACATCACTCCAAAAAATGCAGGGGGGTGGGAGGCGGCTCGACACAACCCCTGGCAAAGATTCATCATCACCCCCCCAAAAACTGCATGGGGGGTGAGAGCCCCCAGTGCCCAGATCAATGCTGTGCTTTGCAAAGGTGCCTTAATCCCCTAAGAAATGATGGGGGGAGGATTTTTGCATCCCCCTGCCACCCCCATTGAATGCTACTGTCCAGACAAAGCCCCCCTCAGATGCAAAGCTGCATCACAGGCGTCAGTGCACGTGCATCGCTCCTCATCACTGGGTTTAAGCCAAAAAAAAGGCAGAGAAAAAGTGGAAAAACATGGGTTTTGGGGGAGGGGCCTCCCAAAAACATCCTCTCTCCCCGAAATACCTTAGCTCCATCCCTCTCTTGCCATCCCAGGGGTCCCATCTATGAACCCCCCGTCCAGATGCCGTCATCTGACGGCGAACAAACCCCATATTGAAGAGGAGGGGAGAGTGGGAAAACCAGCTGGGGAGGGCGAAGCAGGAGCAAGAAAGGCCTTAAACAAGCCCGAAAAGTCATGGGACCTATTGGTATGCAGCGTCCGTGCGTCCGTCCTCCTCGGGAACGCCACACTTGCCCCGCAAACATGCCCTGACTCGCTGAATTTAGGGCATCCTCCATAGGGAAAACCCAGGCACGGGATGGGGATGTGGCCTTTAGTG